TAAACCCTAAACTCCTAAACGCCTAAGACGCCTATAAACCCTCAAGCCCCCCGCGCATACCCGATTTTGAAGAGAGATCTGCTGTGTCTGCAGGTTCCAGCGACTTTTTGAGGAGTTAACGTCTGGGCCCTTGGGGCAGGGTTTAGTGAGGGATCTACAGGAGCTCTATGAGTCTATGAGGGTTCTATAAAGGTTTGAGGTTTCGGTGTGAGTTTGGGGATTTACCTTGGTGTTGCTGGCGGTGTCAGTGGTTGCTGGTGTTGCGTACGTTTCGCCTTCTTGCCGCTAGCACTGGGCGGGATCTTTGACTCTCAGGGTTTCGGCTTGAGGGCAGAAACACAATACAGAAGCAACCTCCCAAGACCTAATATAGGGGCCTAAACCATTACCAAAGGGGGTTCTTTATGAGAATTATAGTGTACCCCCAAACCCTATTCCAATTATTAAGGCCCCTACCCTAAACCCTAAACCCTAAACGCTAAACCCTAAATCCTAAACCCTAAACCCTAAACCATGGCCTAAGTCAAGCCCCCGGACCGAGCTCTTGTTTTGGGTCTCCCGTCTGGTACAAGGGTTCATACAGGGGCCTTACTAATTAGACTAGGGTTTGGGGTATCTTATACTCTATAAGTATAATAAGGAACCCCCAAAACAACATTCTAATTCTTAAGGCCCCTACACTAAGCTTTGGCCTAAGTTTATGGGGTTCGCAGTGTGGCGATGGGTGGGTTGCAATGTTTAGCACCCATATCTTTGTAGGCGGGAAAGCTTTCGGGAGCCTGCAGTTCCTAGCAGGACACTCAAGTCGCCAGCCTACTATAGACTAAAGCGGCCTAAACAATTACCTATACTCTTTTGGGGGGTTCCTTATTAGGATTATAGTATAACATATCCCAAAACCCTATTCTATTTTGCAAGGCCCCTAAACCCTAAATCCTTATAGTAGCCCTTCTAGAACCCTCGTATGGAACCCTTTTAAAGGAGCCCCCAAAAACCCTATTCTAACTATTAAGGCCCGTAAACCCTAGACCCTCATAGTAGCCCTTCTAGAACCGTTTAAATATACCGCAGAACCCTATTCTAACTATTAAGGCCCCTCCTACATCACTCGTCAGCGCCCGGGAAGTTTACCGAAGAACTGCCAAGTCGCCACCGAACCGCAGGCCGAAGCCCTCAAGCTCTAAGAGAAGCATCGGACCCAAAAAATTTTAGGGTTTAGGGTTTAGGGTTCTTAGAAGCATCGGACCCAAAAAAGTTTAGGGTTTAGGGTTTAGGGTTCTTAGAAGCATCGGACCCAAAAAAGCTTAGGGTTTAGGGTTTAGGGTTCAGGGTTCTTAGAAGCATCAGACCCAAACAAAAGCGCTCAAGCCTAATACAAGGGGAGACTTAGTAATTAGAATAGGGTTTTGGGGATATACTGTACTAGAATTATAATAAGGAAACCACCAAAATGAGATAGGTAATTCTTGAGGCCCCTATATGAAACCCGAAGCCTCGTGGCTTTTGAGCCCAACCCTCATAGCCTCACTGCCTGGTCTCAGGTTAATAGGTGCATAGTTTAACGGCGGCACTTTACTTCAATGTCCTTAATCCCGCCTGGATCCTGCATCTACCCTATTATACCCTGAGTACCTACTATTCAAAGGTATAAGGAGGGTACTGGAGGATGTTTGTTGATTCAGAAGTTAATATACTATACCATGCTGTACGATGCTATACACTGTACTACATACCATACCATATAATTAGAATATGATAACCATAATATGTTTTGTTTAGGTACATCCACGAGCTCCACGAGTTCGACATCGTCGCATACCTCGGGCCTTTTCTGGAGGCTCCGTTCTGAGTTTAATTCAGGAATCTGTGGATCCAACACCCTGAGGGCGATGCCATGTAAATATGGGCCTAGCTCCTAGTGTTTGTAGGGTTTAGCGCGTCTTGTTACATGCTTGTAGGGTTTAGGGGTCGGGTGGTTCGGAGAGAGATCATCGAGCCAATTGGCCTTTAGGGTGTTTAGGGTCTATGCGGATCTAAGGCCGTTGTCGCAGGCATGTGAGGATCCAGGCAGACTCCGCTCAAAGAGATCTGTCTCAGGCGATTTTCTGCCCTCGCGCGCGCCAATCCTAGACCCTGAACCCTTTACCCTGACACCTCAATTCGACGCACGCCCCTAAACCCTAAACCCTAAGATCAAGTCTCCACCCTGTAGCTCCGCAAAACTCGAAGCTCCTACTCTATCAAGCCGCAGTTCCTCAGCAAATTGTTTCTGTGTAAGTCAGAAGAATACCTCCCAAACCTCTGAGTCCAAAACCAAGATCTCGCGATTCACCACCAGAGTTTGGGGACTTAGGAGTCATAGAGTTTAGGGTTTAGGGTTTAGGGTTTAGGGTTTAGGGTTTAGGGTTTAGGGTTTAGGGTTTACGTTCGGGGTTTAGGGTTACGGCTTTGGGGGCGGCAGGTGATCCAGTCGGAGGCCACGTCAGGTGAGCTGACCGCGGTGCCCTGTCGGAAGTGTTGTTGATTTGCCAGGATGGCCATTACCTGTATGCGGCTACTATAAGAATACTGTGGGGGGGTTATTTTAAGACTGTAAGTTAAGTCTACAAAGGTTACCAAGCAATGCTATTACGGTCATTATAAGGCTCACAACAAAGAAGTACAAACTGATAACTGATATATTGTACGGGTGGCTATAAGACAATAGAGGGTTTCGAAAGGGAGTCCGTTCTGCCAGTACTTCGGGGGTGGGTAGGAACCTTTAACCTTGTCGGGTACGTCAATTCCCAGCAGACTCAAAAGATTAAGGTCTTTGGGTCAGGTGCTCAGATGAATATGACCAGTGATGACTGGACCCACTTGGTACAAGGGCCTTATACTCGGATCCCCGTTATGAATCTTATGCAGGGAAGGGATTGCTAATCAGGGATCCGCGGTAATTCTGTATTGTTTTTGCTGTTTGGTGCACTTCGCATGCCGGCAGACTAGCGTTACTTCCTGTTCGTTTGTGTTTGTATACATGTATACGGTTACACAGGCATATGCTTCCTGCCGATGTGATTCTCTTACTTGATACTCAGACTCGTAGTGTATACTACACGCAGACACTCATAAACACACCCGCCCACCCACCCACCCACCCACCCACCATACATACAATCGCACACACACACACACATGTAGATATGTATTATGTGTATATATATATACATACGCTAAATCAAATACATATATACGCTTACGTTTATACATACACATACATATAGACGCATGTTCATAGGAATGTGTAGGTATACATTTTGTGCATGTGTTCATATGCATGTATGTATGCATGCATATCCATATATATATATATGCATATACATGTGCGAATGTGTGTGTGTATATATATATATATATGTAAACACATCTATGTATGTACATGCATTATATATATACACATACGCCCGTACGTACGTACGTACGTACGTACGTACGTACGTACATACATACTTACATACTTACATACATACTTACATACATACATACAAACAAACATACATACATACATACATACATACATACATACATACACACACGTGCATACACATACATAAACATACACACATACACGCACACACACATACATACATACATACATACATACATACATACATACATACATACATACATACATACACACACGTGCATACACATACATAAACATACACACATACACGCACACACACACATACATACATACATACATACATACATACATACATACATACATACATACATACATACACGTGCATACACATACATAAACATACACACACATACATACATACATACATACATACATACATACCTACGTGCGTGCGTACGTACATACATACATGTCATCATACAGTAAGTTGTCGTAGAACATACCCAGGAGTCTACTGAAATTGCTTAGTCCATGCTGCATACTGCCGAGGTTGCACTCGAAGCGGTCGACAAGTTCGCCCTGTGCCCAAATACCATCGAGCTGGTTCTCCTTCGGAATACTCGCAACGTCATGTGTATTGTCATCGTGTACTGGAAAGTCAGGGTGACACGGAAGAGAGTGGAATCTGTACAAGCTGCAGCAGCAGACACCTGCGATCCGAACTGGCAGCTGCAGAACTTGCTGCAGTTCATGCATGTATGGGTATTCTCAAGAGCAAGCCATGCTGCTTCCAGGTCTCCTTTGGGCTGATACATCCGGACAGCCCGCGCTGCACCGAGGCTGGTAGCAGCATGTTTGCGTTCCCAAGCAAAGCAGGTGTAGAGTTGCAGCAGTAGTGATCATGAATGTGTCTGGCTGTTCGAGCTGCCGGAGGCGATAAACACGCTGGCCTGGGGCGTCATTAACTGCCGTTTCTTGCCGAGCCCTGAGATGTTGAGGTCAGCATTGGTCGGCACAGGTATGGTACGCAAATGAAAAAGCACCGGCACCTAGGACCTAGACTCAGACCTTAACCTTAACCCCAATTCCGAAACTGTAGGGTTCAGGGTTTAGGAATTATAAATCCTTCAAGCCTTTTCCAACCCTTCCAAAACCACTAGAGGACCACAAAAAGCATTTTAAACACCTATACACTACTAGGCACCAAGTACCTGCTTCCTAAACCTAAGCCCTTGAAACCTCCTCAGATCCGACTGCTTTGGTCAAAGGTCCGATGGCAGTGCAAGCGACGAGGTCGTCCTTTTGAAGATGGTCCGCCCTCCGGGCTTCATCAGAGATTGGGGGGTTCTGGGTGGTTGGTGGCTCAGGGTTTGCGGATTTTAGGGTTTGGGGTTTCGGGCAGCTCATCGCAAGAGCACCAACTTTGAAGGCGTTTCGGAAGGTGTCTTTGCACATTGAGAGGGGCCTCCAGCCCAGCTATGACTTGGGGGGCTCGGTTCGTAGTGAGACGAAGCTCATTGAAGCAGTTCCTGTCAGAAACGATGGCCTGATGCATTCCCGCTCACAGCCTCACTTAACCATAGCAGCCCCGCTACTGCGCCTCATTCTTCAGACATGGCATCCGAGTCCCTCCACTATGTTGGCACCCTCGAGGGCCACCGCAACTGGGTCACCGGCATCGCCAGCACCTTCGAGCAGAGCAACCTGGTGGTCTCCTCTTCTCGAGACAAGACATTGATGATTTGGGAGCTCACCCCTGACAGCGAGAACCCCGGGTATGCTCGAAGGTCCCTGCATGGCCATGGTGAGTGTGTGGCCAGCTGCGTGCTGTCCTCCGATGGCCAGTATGCCCTGTCTGGCTCATGGGACAAGACCATGCGCCTGTGGGACTTGAACACCGGGGCCACCGTGCGAGTCTTCAAGGGCCACACGAAGGATGTGAACAGCGTGGCCTTCTCGGGCGACAACCGCCAGATCGTGTCGGGCAGCCGTGACAAGACGATCAAGCTGTGGAACACGCTGGCTGAGTGCAAGTACACGATCATGGAGGACATGCACACCGATTGGGTCAGCTCGGTTGGCTTCTCCCCCTCCGCCAAGATGCCGCTCATCGTTTCCGCCGGTTGGGACAAGCTGGTGAAGGTCTGGAACCTGAGCAACTGCAAGCTTCGCACCAACTTGGTGGGCCACACCGGAGTCGTTTACACCACCACCGTGTCCCCCGATGGCTCCCTCTGCGCGTCAGGTGGCAAGGATGGCACCGTGATGCTGTGGGACGTGAACGAGGGCAAGCACCTGTACTCTCTGGATGCTGGTGGCACCATCAACGCCTTGACCTTCAGCCCAAGGAATTACTGGCTGACCGCGGCCACCGACACCACCATCCGCGTGTGGGACTTGGAGAACAAGCAGATCTTGGAAGAGCTTACCGCCATCAACCCCCCCAAGAACGGCCTGCCTTGGTGTGTCTCCTTGTCCTGGAGCGCTGATGGCAGCACCTTCTTCGCCGGTTCGACCGACGGCAACATCTACGTGTACAGGGTGGGCGAGCAGTAAGCGAAGAGGGACAGTAGGGAGTCGCAAGAGAGTCGCAAGACCCTGCTTCCGACTGCCAGGGCCCTTTGCATCAAGCAAGGGGTTGCTGGAGGAAGGTATCTGGGGCAGGTGCAGACTCTTTAGAAAATGGAGCTACGGTGTTCTCGGCAAAAGAAGGAGGCACATGGTTCGGCTGTGGCTTCTGACAGTCGAGCAGGGCAGGAGACATAATTACTTATACTAATTTATATTCACAGTACAATATACCCCCAAACTCTATTCTATTTATTCAGGCCCCTATATTAAATGCTACTTACCGGCCAGGTTGGCCTCTTGATCGACTGCCTCCGCTGCCCGGCGGGAGAATATCTTAGCGACCCGATGGTCTGGCACATGGCACGGGCGCCCAGGTGCAACGCCTAAAATTGAACATTTTCGGAACTGAGGCTATGCTGAGACAGCCTAAACCCTAAACCCTAAACCCCAAAACCCAAATCCGCAAGAAGCCCTGCTTAAATCAATTCCCTAATTCCAAGTATCTGCATCCTTGTAGCAGCCCCTAACCCCATCCCCTCACCCCTGAAGCCCTAAACCCTAACTCCCAAGTGCAGGGAAGGGGGGGCCCAGAGTCGTTCCCTGCATCCCGAGCTCGCGAAAGTGATGTGAAGGCTGATATCCTGGATCCTACCAACATAGGGGCCTTAATAGTTACCTATACTATTTTGGGGGTTTGCTTATTTTATTTATAGTATATTGGGCCCCAAAACCCTATTCTAATTATTACGGCCCCTACACTCTAGGCTCGCAAGCGGCTTGCAAGCCCAATGAATCCGCGACCCAAATCTTAACGCCTAAACTCTTCAGTCTTGAGCGCTCCTCCAGCCTCAGGTGAAGAAGTGCTTTCAGATCTCGCGGCAGCCAACTGCAACCCACCTTCTCAGGCCAGACAGTCAGGGTTTGTTTAAAGTAAGTTGAAAGTAGGAGGTGCTTCGGGATTTTTGCGAGGCCTTGAGGGAGTTTCCATACGTGTTTATAAGGGTTGAGGGATAGATGTGGGGGTTCCCGAAAATAGGGGGACCCTACTCTAGTACCCCATATAATAGTAGGATCCTTATTATAAGAGCCCCAAAAGAAGGTACCCCTCATTTTCGGAAACTCCCATGTGCAGATGGGAGCAGGCTCTAAACATGTTCTAAAAGGGGGGCACCATCTGGGTAGTTCTCTAAGTTAGGATCCCTTTTTAGGTCCCCAATGTAATACGGCACCCGTATAAAAAAGGACCCTAAAAGGGACCCTGATTTAGAAAACTGCCCATCTACAGGCGTGTTTGTTTGTTTGTTGCTTGGCACCTTACCTGGAGCTAAGTTAGTCCCTCAACAAGGATCCTGCTTTGCTACAAGTACACGAGGCGTGTACCAGCGTTCTGCACAAATCGTTCTAAAACCTTGCAACTGTCTAAACAACCTCGACAGTACTAAACATGAGAAGCCCAGAGCAGCTTGAAATTTTGGTATGCAACCCTTTAGGCGTATATCGTGGTTTAGGAGTGGCTGAGCGGTAGGTTTAGGGAGCGGCGTTTAGGTTTCAACGTTTGCTGGTTTGAGAGTGAACGGCTTGGGGTCTTATGTGGCTCTAGCTCGACTCTTGCTGCACGTGCCACAAAGTGAGTGGTGAAGGATCCAAAACTAATCCAGTCGACGATCTCAGAGTACCTGTTCTTTTGCGGGCCACAATACTGGAGTTTATAAGGTTTAAGGTATAGGCATAGGCTAAGGTGTAGGGTTTTGGACAGTTTAGGATGACCCTTAGACACCAAGTAGGTCTACAAAAGCACCTGCATTGTGGCTTGTGAAGTCCCGCCGTCATGGAGATAGAGTACTACCTTGAATCTAACACCAGACAAACAAGGCCTAGTAGTAGGGTGGGTAACCTTTAACCTTTTTAGGGTAGCACAATCCCTATATAACCCGTATATAACCCCAAAGGTTAACCCTTAGTTCCCCATGATACCCGACAAGTAAGAAGGGTGTGCGATGTATTCGCCTGCCAGTGCCTGAGGTCCTCCGCCGAAGGGATGCTACAACAGCCGGGGCCTGCAGGTTCATGGAGGTTCATAGTAGCAAGCCAGGGCTGAATTTGTATGAGGGCTTTAACGGATGTTTGGACAGATTTTGCAAGGATGTTTATTCAGCTTTGTCAGTCTGTCTGGTGTTCTAGGTAGAAGCCCTGAACACAAAGTTCCAAGATACAGCGTGCCCCGCTGTCGTGTTGTTATTCCCAGTACCTCAAACCACAACCGCAAACCCTAATCCCAAACACACAAACTCAACCCCAACCAGAGTCCTTGTAAAATCCAGAGATATCCTTGCAAGTACCCTTGCAAAACTCCTTTAAACTAACCCTGCCGAATCCTTCCGACGTACCCGGATAGAACCCCAAACCCCGACCCTAAACCGGTAACCCTCAACCCCTACTTGGAGGATCATGGGACTTAGTAAGTAAGGTTATAAGTCCCCTCATTGGGGTTATAAGGAAAAGTTGCCTTAGTTATAACCCTACTTACTGATCCTTTAAGTATCCTTTTTGGTCTGGCGGATCTGCCGAGGATGGTGCTGACCATCTTCGGCACGCAGAAGGCCGGGAAGAAGGGGCTTCGAGAGAAGCCCGAAGAATGCAACGTCATGAGGGTTTAGCACTTTATTTGGGGTTTAGAGGCCCTAAACCCTAAACC